ATGTTGTACTCCTCGTATGGCTGTGATACATCCACGACGTCAACCTCAATCTCCACGTACAATCGACCGAGTTCGTCGACGCCTCGGCTGTCCACCAACAACAATCATAACAATCTGTTGTCGCCGTTTTACAGTAGGTTTAGCTTTTTTGTAGGGTTGTTATTGTGAAAGGTGATACATTTTAAAAGGGTCGTTGCTGCAGTAGGGAAAGGTATATTATTGTAGTAGGTAATACGGTTAAGGAAAGGCAAATAATGAGGTATAAAACTATTGTATGTAGGGTATAAGATACTATACATACAGATTGAGTTCAATAGGTCAAAAATCAAAGAATGCAAGATCATTAAAGAACAGTTTGTCACAACAATTGCCACTTTGATTAATAGGTTCAAAAAAAGAAACATGAAGCTTTTGTCTTTGAACATTATCAATCTCACTTTGAATACTATCAATCTTACGAACAGATTCTTCTTTTACTAACGTAATTTATGTGTTTGAACTAGGATAAACTTATAATGTATGTATGTACTGTAACTAGGCTATGATTATATGCAGGGTGATTGAGGTTAGAGGTTGTTCAAATAATTCTGTGCTCCTCTCAGAGACTTTAAGTAATTACTACTACAATGAAAACAAAATATAGACTATCATTTACTAGGCTTTTCAAATAATTCTGTGCCCTAATCCCAAAAATTTGTTTTGAAAGAATCTCAGAATTATTTGGACAACCTAATACAACACATCTTGTACTACACAGCATTACTTAAAAACTGATATACAATAACACAATACATCCTTAGTGTTATTACCACTTCATTATCACCCACCGCCCAATCTATGATAAATAACTGTAAAAAACAACTGCTGGACGTCAAAGTTGAGACAAGTTCCGTGTGTTTATGTAAAGCGATCTGTCCGACATGTGTATTGGCCAAGCCTCCGTGCTCCCAGGGGTCGTGCCGTTCCGAAGGTCGAGAGCCGAATAATCGTTTGTAAAGTGAGAAGCGCCGGTTGTATTGTAACACGCTTCGGCGTGTATTTATTTACCCAAAACTTTGTGTACGTCTGATTCTTGGAGTGTAGTTTATTGGGACAGCATTTGAAGGCTATGGCATTTGACATGACATTTTTTTATTTTTTTTAAATTTTGGGTTTTAGAGAGCTGCGACACGAATTGTGACAATATATATTGTATGTATACTTTGCAATTGTCTTAAAATGTCTTTCTTTACTCTTACATTGTCTTTTTTTACTCTTACAGTACATTTCTTTACTCTTTTGTTCAAAAGAAAGGAAGAAAAAGCTTGCACAGTGCAATATTCTTAAAGGCTTGCTCAGTGCAATCTTCCTCAAAGATTGCACCGTACATCTTTTTTACTCAATTTTTCATGGTGCACAGTGCAGTGTTTCCAAGCCTCTTGCACAGTGCAGTTTGTCGCAGAATTCAGTTTTGCGATTGTCAGAAGTGAAAGAAATTTGTCGATGTTGAGCAAGAACAGCGACAATTTCTTGCATTTTGCGACATCTGTTGGCAACTCTTTTTGTCGCAGAGTGAAAACATTCGCGACATGCTTTTGCAAGAGGAGAAAGCTTTGCGACAAGGTGCTGCAGGATGAAAAGTTTTGCGTTAAGATTTCGCAGGACGAAAATTGTTGCGACATTTTGTGAAGATTGTGTCGCAGGGTAAAAAAACTTGCGACATGGTGCTGCGTCGCAGTTTTGAAGAGCGATGGGACGTTTTGTCGCACTTGTCGCTGGGTCAATGCCTTCATTGAGACCATGGGGCGTTTGCAACAATTTTTTCTTCTTGTGGCAAAAGCAGTGACTTCTGCCACAACTGCACGGTGCAACTCTTGGGGGGATTGCACTGTGCAGTCTTCTCAAAAGCTTTTGCACCGTGCAGTTTTTTCAGGGTTTGAATTGAATCTGCACGGTGCAATAAAGGTCAGTTTTTTTTGCACTGTGCAGTCATTCACTGTCATAACAAACAATATAACTTGATTGTTGTGATAGGTATGGCAACAAAAAAGTGTGTTACACGGACATTATAGTACACTTCCTAAAATGATGTGTTTTTCCGCTAAACGTGCTACCTAGTAGAGCTTTCATTAATACCAAAGGGGGCCTGTCACTCAATCACCCGCTTAATTTAACGTTGCAGTTGTGCGACGTTAAACTTGTGTTTTGGGGGGTTTAAGCCGCATGATTTCCCACGAGAAGGTACAAACAGTGGTACTCATTTCGGGTACTCAATTTGGCCACTTATCGAGTATTGTTCGCTGCGTCATCTTAAGCTTAGTCACCATGTTGGGGCTGGGTTTAGGAGATGATTTAGTCATATTGGAGCTGAGTTTGGTAGCTGGTTTGGTCATATAGAAGCTGGTTTTAAGGGGGGGGGGAGGCTAGTTAGTGTTTTTCTTGAAACGTCTGGATCAATGTCCGACGGTCCAGACTGACAACTTTAGGTTCGGTCTGGATATTTTTTCTAATTTTATTTCGGCCTGGACTGCAAAAAGCGAAAAAAATTTGGAACTGGACTTCAAAAATAGCCGGACCTGAAAAACCACCGCCCGGACATCTAGACAAAACATTGGTGATAGTGATTTAGGTTATGTTTTTTATTGAAGTAATGGTCAGTTTTATTGGTATATTGGTCAAAAAGTGTATAGAAACTGTAAATTTATAGCTAAATTTTAATTTCTTTGGCTTTTCTACAAACTTTGTGACCAAAATCTCAACTTTTCTTATAATAATCATGCTTATTTCAACTAAAGACAGGACAAACCTCATTTTACTGTTTTTCCGATCTCTAGTAATATATAATAAGAAAGGAGTTTCCGGTCCAAAACTTGATTATGCACAAAGCGGGGGGTATAATACTATAATGTAATTAATATTCTAAATATAATTTCGCTATTACACTATTTTAATGTAACTATTATGCTTAATATAATGTAGCTACTATGCTAAACATAATGTCGCCTTTCTACTATGGTTTAATAATATTATATGTCTAGAATAATACAAAGTGATACGCTTTTATAAGCTTAGAATAATGTATTTAGGTCTATAGTCTTTGAAAGGTCTTGAACTATTGTTAGCGAGGTGACTAGGGTTTGGACATACGTAGAACATATATACTTACAGTGAATTTTACATTCTTCAAGCAGCTAAGTTTTAAAAGTACTTTAAGTATTTTTAGTCTGGACTAAAGAGCAAAATCATACTACTTTTAGTTATGCTATTTTTTATTAAAGTACACTTTAGTCACTATTTTAAAACATTAAAATTCAAAATTTTGTGTCTTTGCTCTACTATAGATAGATGTATGATTACTCCACAGTAATTTCATAAATTCATCAAGTTTATGCTAATTAGTCAAAGTGCATTGTCGTATGTTGGGACGTGTTAACGTTTGAAACGTAGTTTGTTTTTCGTATTTTATACTATTGAGTTTAGTCTGGACTAAAGAGTAAGTTCAATAGTGCGTTTATGAAAAGGTTTTTACATTATGCTTTAAGGGGTTTACCTATATGCATTACATTATAATAGGTTTTTAGAGCTTTCGCATTTTTTTTATACTGTATTTAGAGGTTATAAATTAGATTTTTATACTTTGTACTATAATACTATAGGTTCTTATACTTTATAATATACGTGACGTTCTGTTATGTTATTCATTGTATCTTAAACTTTTGTTAAGAAGGTTTCATTTTTTGATTATATTTATTACTCTGACGTTGGGGAACAATCTGTGGGTTTAAATTTGTTCAAATGCGGTTTTACATGTCATCGTTTTTAGGAACGGGAACAAAACATTCATTATAATATATGCCTTCTATAATATATAGTAGCCTAACAGCTCGACCTCGGTTTGTAAGGGGGTCGGGCCGGGCTCAAGTCATAGCTTTTTTCATAACCAAAAAACATTTCGTATTGTCTCAAGTTTAGGTTCAGTTAATATAAAATTAATCTAGACTTTAACGTTCATATAAACAAAGCACATTCTCACATAACTAAAGTCACCGTCCCATAGGTCTATCTGATCACAGTAATTCTTTGGGCGTTTAGATTAACGTACATAGAAAGTTCGAAACTTATTATAAGTACTTTTAAGAGGTATTTTGTGTTATTAACTTAGCTAAAAGTTACCTTAGCTAAATTACTACAGCTAAAAGTATTTGTAATTAGAAACTGTTTCTAAACTAGTTAGAGAACGTTCCAAGCACGTTTAGGTAATCAAATAACCGGGAATGTAAACTTGTTTAGACCTCAAACTCTGTAAACGTTCTGTTATGAAACTTTAAGAGTATATATATACTTACTTAGTTTTTTATAGCCTCTGGCAAATTTGTGCTTAATTTCGAAAAATTTCATTTTAAAATTTTTTAAAACTTTATTTTAGTTTTTTAAAAAATATTTGCAAAATTGCTGTTTGAAGCTCAACATGTACGTACTACTGCTAGATTAGGTCATGTAGGCTTTGCGACATGCACTTATCATTGATTATCATATGCAGCTTGCTCTTTCCATCTTGAAAAAGTTGTTAATAAAGCCGTTTGCATTAACGGAATTATGCCTAAAGCAATATGAATTGCTAAGTACGCTTCTCGGAACCTCGGTTTATGAGCTTTTTATAAAATGAAACTACTTTTGGTTGAACTTTGAACCGTTTTTCACTAATATTTTAGGTTTTATCGATTCTTTTGGCATTTTTATTGGGATTCTGTATTTAATTCTTGGTGGTTGGCTTATAAAATGTCATCTTACTTGATCTCTAGTCTTATGAATGTCATCATCGTTGATTTCTAGGCTTATAAAAGTTATTATAATAGCCAAATTTGGAATTTTCCTTACTTATGATTGCTCTATATTCTTGATTTTTTACTTTTTTTCCTATTTCGTTACCATTTTTAATCATCGTGCGTACTAACACCCCCAAAAAACTTGCCACCATTTAAGACACTTTTTGAATTTGATGGCTTAATGAACAATTACGGATGTCTGACGGCGGCAAGGGATCGCCTCCGGGCACGCCACCCCTCAATAACAATACGATTCCGCCGTCCGCGTCGGCGTGCTCACTGCATCCCGGCCGACGTGTGCGATTCCGGGAAGAGGGCCACGATGGAACGGTACGCCATTCCTTGGGCTCAGGTAAGAATGGTTGGTCAGAGAACGAGCAGAAAGTTGTGATAGATCAGGAGTTTGTGGTAAAAGGGCGAGGAGTTGCTGTAGACGGGTTGGGATAGGGTGAAAGTTGGGTAATTACGACGAAAAATTGATTTTAAAGGCAGTGACTTGGCTAAAAATGGTAAAATTTTCCAAAAACTTCAAAAAACTTACCTTTGCTTGGCCAAAGACAAAAAAAACATACCTAAAATACCAAGAATCTCACCCACAAAACCCAAAAGTTAAGCGGAAAACGTTTTATCAGACCCTCGTAATTACCGGGGATTGTTCACGGCCGCTTAATGGGACTTGATTGGCGGAACGAAAGAACACTTTCTCAATGCGAAAACTGCATAACCATGCAATCTCCTCCTCAGCTTTCAAAAACTCGTACTTAAACATTCGTGATAATACGTACTACGTCTGTTGCGACCTTACGAAAACCTACGTCTACTTTGTGTAAAATTGGAGTTGTTTTTGAGGCTGGATAACTTCAAAAGTATTATAGCTTTACTCTACAAACGTTATTGCTTTTGTTACCTAACATTAAAGTACTGCTTTGGCTTAGGTTTTTCAACAAGTTTAAACAAAGATTTAAAGTTTAAAGCTTATATTATTATACCAAAAAGCTGGTACGACCAAAAGCTCATACCTAATTTAATATCCTACCTAAAACTCTCTTTGCTACAACTTCTTCTATTAAAACCCCTAAATATACTAAAACCCCTAAAATACGCATAAATTTCGATGTCAACTGTTACGAAATGAGCGTCCGCCGACCACTGGCTGATATTCCACTGATTCCATTAAGTAGCTTCGCGCTGGCGGGCTCGCCCCTCCTCCTGTCACGTGATTGTTCGCAGAGCACGTTTGTGCAGCGGGTTGACAGTCCTCCTCAAGAAGGTCGGTGAAGAGGCGCCAAAACTTGAAGGCGTTTCAAACTTTTAAAGTTTTGGGTTTTTGGGTTGAGACTAGGTAATGGGTTGGGAATGGTTAAGGTAATGGTAGGCTGGTAAAAATGTTTACAATTGGTATTATTTTAGGTTTAAATTGGTTTGATAACTAAAAAATAGATTTTCGGAGGTTTTAAGATCATTTTTTGATAAAATACGCCTGTTTTTACTACTGCAATATAAATTTTTTTATAAACTTTAAGGTTTTGAATTCGCCAGCTCTTCCACTTCATTTTAAATTAAAATATTAAAAAGTTTATGCTCAGAACACTTCAGAATTTAAAAACTCCAAGTTGTTTTGAACTTAAAACACTTTAAAATTTAACTTTTTTCAAGAATTTTGAGCTTTTTGAACTTTTTTCAAATTTTTTCAACTTTTTCTTCAAACTTTTAACCTTTTTTGGTTCCTCAAAACTGGGTTAAGTTCAAAAGAACCTCGCTGCAATGCCTTTCCTAAACTGCAGTTTTTAAACTTATTTAGCGGCGAGGGCAGGTCACGTCACAAAGTTATGACAAATAACCCCCCGTTTCCATTTGCAGGCCAACCACACTCGACGGCGGAACGAAATCCATTGGATTCGAGTTCCTCATCGGTTGTCAACTACATTCCCATGAACGAGGCCTCCTTCGACTACAACGCCGAGCAGTTTGAGTTGCGCGTTCACCCGCCCAAACAGTACCGATGTCTGTGCGGAGCAATTCACGTTGTGGTAGGTTAACATAGTTTTTTGAGGGGGAGAGGGTTGATTTTGGTTTAAAGGGGGTAAAAATGGCTTTGATTGCTTGTGAATAAAAAAGTAGTTGAGAAGAGGAGGGATGACTTAAAATTTTTTTAGTCCTTAAAAGTTCAAAAACCTATGTTTCGTACCAAGACTTATCTATATGATCATCGCAAACTATATTCTAAACATAATATAATCGTCTAAATACAATTACCATCTTTTAGCTTGGAACAAAACTGTTTCTTGTACTTTATGTGATATTAACCATGTTTGGCTTGGTGTTTGGAATGGTGCAAGCGATGGTATGGACAGGTATACCATTCCTGGTCACCGTGATGACAATATACGGTTTCTGTAGAAAGAAACACAAATATCTGTATCCGTTTCTTATCATATCTGTAAGTTTTTTGTTGCAATCTTTGTTTGTGCCAATCTATAGTGTTGCTTTTGAACTTAAGCTGGTTAGGATAAGGCATGTATAATGTGAAGATATGGGTAAGGTAGGGTAGGATAAGATATGAAACTATATTAGCACCAGTAAGCTAGAGTAGGGAAGTGTAGGATATGGTAAGGTAGGATAAGGTATTACAGATTTTGGTCAAAACCATAACTTATGTCATATTTTACCAATCAAAATAGGAAGTCAAAAAATTAATTTAAAAATGTATTCACAACATAAAACATGATTACCTTTTTATTCATAAAACATATAAGATTCACATGTTAACAATAATGCCCTAATCTATGACATTTCCAAAAGCAACCCCTATAACATGACATTTTTCAAATCAAAATAATTTATGACATTTTCCTCCAAATTTCAAACAAATTATGATAACATACGATCCATTTACTTCCGTTTCCACGAGTTTATTTTTAGGTTGTGCAGTTAATTGTGTGCTTAATTATGGGTCTTGTTATTGCAACCTTTTCAATTGTAAATTATGAAACATTGAAGCTCATTCTGGGTAAGTTCCGAACATGTTTCTCTCTCAGCATAATTAATATATACACATCTCATTTGGAATGAAATACTTTTGCAATAAGTAATGGAAATGAGTACTAAATGTTCACAGAGATTGCAAAATGCATTTTAATAGGTTGTTCAAATAATTCTGTGCCCTTCACAAAGTAAATTTTTGGGGTTAGGGGGCACAGTATTATGCTCAAAGCAGGGGCGTCGCTACGGATTTTTTTTCTGGGGGGGGTGGATCCACCCCCCCTCCACCCCCCCCTAGCGACGCCCCTGGCTCAAAGTAATTTTAAACTAATGAACTTTTGAAAATTCAAAAATCATTCAAATTTTTTAAATTTTGAAGAAAAGCATATTTTTGAAGACCACCAAGCCCAAAACATATGTTTCTTGATCATTTAGTTCAAATTTTGAATTACTTTGACGTAGATGTAATGTATCATAAGTATAGCATGACAATGGCTATGATATTACAGGCGCATTTGTTTAACGTGTCAAATGTCAAACTATGTCATGATATATAATACAAATTAGTATTTTTAGAAAATGATGTTTGTTTTACATACCATAGGCATGGGAATGGTAATTTAAACTACCTAAGTAATCAAATTTTACAACAAAAGTAAATTTGAATCAAGTTTTAAAAAGTCTTGTCGTTCTGAAGGTGAAAATCAATATAAATTGGAGACAAAACTTTGGTGATGGGTTACTGAACTTGATACCCTAGCTTTAAACTCAAAATTAAATTTTACATATAATATATTAGCTATAGTATAGCTGTACTAAAACTGATTACTTTCAGCCCACAACATGAAAGGTGAGCCATCAACAACAGTTATCGTAGCAATCGTTGGAGGTACGGTCTTCTCCTGCTTTCTTTTGGGTGTCATTCATATTTGGCAAGTCATGGTGATTTACAAGTAAGTTTTTTACTGCAACACTGTTTTCTATATCAAAAATGAAAAATTTGTAGTAGTATCAATGTATGCCTTGTGTAAGTACGCCATTCTTTCTTAATTTTTTTTTTTATTATTTTAGTATTATTACGCCATATATTAACTATGAAGATATAGAAATTAAAAAAAATTTTGTTTTCAACAGCTTCATCCTTTAAAAACAAGCCTAAACCTTTTTCATTTTACATAACATACTATAATATTAAACAAAATATCAAACATTTCAAAATCCTATGAGACATTCCCATTGACACTTCTTTTCTTCATGACACTTCCTTTTTCGTGTAGCCGACTTCTGAGTAAAAACATCGTACGAAAAGCAACTTTTAATTAAAAATCTTTCAGCTGTCTTCAATACTTTGAATACGACTTGAAGCCAGACCGTGCTCTGGTCAGTACGCACGGAGATTTCACCAATAATGGCTTGAGTTTCTTCGAAAGCACCCAGAAAATGCCTCATAACATTGATCAATTGGCCAGTTACAACTCGGAAATGCAGCGACGGGTCGAAATCATGGCATAAGTTGTTAGATGATGATGGAAGTACATTCAGATTAAGCCTATTCTGGCTTCAAATGAGGCCTATTATGGCTTTGAATGGACAAAAACGTCCTTGAAAAGGCTATAAATATGGAAAAAATCGTTGGAAATTTGCCAAATTTGGCCATTATCATCAATGAATCGATGAAAAAATCATGGTTTCTACTGACATCTAAACTTTTAAAGCCTTCTTCAAAATCCTTCCTACACAACAAAAATGCAGTATTGATACCTACTGTTCCAAAAACGTGCTAAATCACGCAGAGTTCATAAAACGTTCCAAAGCACGTCAAATTCAATCAATCTTAATGCGAACTTTGTTATAGTCTATATTATTCTTGCTTTTCTCTTTCTAACCGCTACAAGAAAGTTATGTCAAGACGCTATACATGTACCTCTTTGTTAATAATCAGATCTCTTATGTTTTGCCATCTCTAGTGCCTTTCTCTTTGTTTATCATTCCGCCATAATTGTTCGTTTAGTTCCAGATACCGGTTATTGTAATATCTTGCATTCGGGTCGACAAAATTCTACTATATTCGTAAAATGATCAAATAAACATACTATTGATATATAGGTATACCAAATGTAAAGACAAGGTCAAATAACAATGAAAAAGGCTAAAACGTTCCCTATTTTACATTTTGATAATTCTTAAAACATAGTACTTTTTTTAGGCTTATCATATCTGTAAATACATTCAACTTAACATTACAGGAAGTATAAGATACCAAACAGTCATATTATACCATTTATAACATACCAAACAACCTACATTTTCATCATTTTATAATAACCTAAAACAACCAACAATAGCGCAATCTACATCACCAAAACATGTATACATAGATCACGTACGTGTACATACATAATGTACACAAACTATTATGAGTACATGCATAATGTACGTACACGTTCAACAATTTACATATTCTGTCGTTTCCGCAGCCAAAATAGATCTCTTAATGGCGTTCGCGAGTCGTACGGTAACTTGGAAATGCCCAGTATAGACTTGACTTTGGGATGCCTCAAAGCTAGTGACTGGGCCAAGCCAGTGGCACTTACTATCAGCCAGTACAGGGGAATACACTAAAGATTTTGAGGTTATATTGTATTTTCGGAATGGTATTACCAAATAATGTGATTTTACTTGTTAAAACATATATACCTTGATACTGCTTGTTACTTTAGTCATATAAAGTCTGATATTGCAAAAAAAAATGAATTACTCAAATTAAATTTTTGATTATCTATCAAAAATCAGACAAAAAATTTAGTTTTTAAAAGATTTATACTAACAAAAAGTTTAGAAAACTTACTGCAGGCATCTTGATCATTATCAATGTACCAGCAAATGTAAAACCACCCAGAAAAACGTCGTATAACTTGGTTGTTGTTGTCTCTTTTCTTGGAAACATTAACCTTTGTGACTGAAAGTAAAATTTTTAAATGTAAAATACGCCATACTTAAATTTTTAAGCTTACATTGTAAAAGCATATTACAATGGAAAAGTAACAAAAGCCATCAAAATCATGAATAATAAAGAATACCTAAAAGAGCATAAAGAATATCTAAAAGATGGTTAGAAAGTTCAAAAAATCGAAATATTCAAAAACAACATAAAATAAAAAAATTAACATAAACCTTAACAACGTTAAAAAATAACTTACATATAAGTTCAAAAATCCAAAAACAGCTACAGCTACTGGCAATATAAAATACGGATCCGGAGTTAAAAAGTCATCAATCCACAGAAACCCGTTCAAAGATGGAGCAAAATCATCTAGAATAATGTAAAAATAAGCTAAAAAACATGACAATACGTTTTTGTTCTGAAAGTTTGATAAAAACGACAAAAACAATGCTGTTATTACCCATGGATAAAAAACCTACCATTTATAACATTCCTAATAGCAAACGAAGAAAATACCCAAAATGGCACCGTGCAAAGCTTCAGAGCCTGTATCCGAGAAGCATGAAGCCTTTTGTCTGCTACATAGTTCATTAAAGCTTCGTCTGCCTAAAATTCACACATTGGAATAACAGTTGATGTGCTATAAGACAAATCTGTAAATAAAGCCGGGCACAATTTTTAGGGTAAGTCTAGACATATTTGATAAACTTACAACTTTATGAGCTTTTTCTGTCAATGCTGGATCATTTTCAATAACTAACTTTGTCCCATCTGCACTTGGCACCAATGCTTTGTTACTGGACTTTGAAGCTTTCTAAAATTATATGAATTTTAGGTAACAAAAAATTTAAACCACCTTAAAACTTTATATATAATTCATTAGCTCAAAACCCAGCCGTTTTACATTTTAAAAAACCAACAAGACATCTAAAAATACTCTACTTTTCTTAAATAAGGAATTTTACTTCAATATCACCAAAAACTACAGATAAAACAATAAAAACTAAACCATTACCTGCAAAACTTCATTGTGAAAGTATCCGTATGCATTTATTCGTCTGGCAAACAATTTCTCTGCATAAACATGAAACGGCGCCGACACCAACCTCAATGTTATCCCGCTGGCCACAAAAGCACCAACCCAAGGCAATCCAGACGAATGTAAAACTAAAAATACAACAAAAAAAGATAAGAAACATACCTTCCATTCCAAAATTAAATCCATGAGTTATATTAGCGTCTGAGAAGTAAGTTAGAAAAGCCGAAACTACACCAGGAATCTCGTTTTGCCCAGAACTAAGACTTCTTTTCGATGTTATACAGCATACTGGAGATCTTGATATAGAAATTAATCGTTTAGAAGGTTGATAAATCCTCAACATTTTAATTTAACATCAACAAGCACTTTTGTTTCCGAGATCCTCAAAAATCCGTGAAAATTTATAGAAAAATAATATATTGAGACATGTTATACGCTGAAAGATGTCCAGACAAGATTTTTGTAAAATACGGATGTAAAATTAGCGTCAGTATATTAGCAAATAATATAAAAACTAACATGATAAAGTGTTTTTTTTTCATTAGAATGATGTTTTAGAAGTAAAAACATCCGCTGTTTCAGAATTTTCAAAATTTTAAACATTTAAATTTCAAAAAGTGCAATATACGACCAACATCTTCATGACTTTCATTTTGATTACTCCTTTGATTCTTAGACCAGTCCGTCAGGATGACCTGGACATTTATATGTCTTCTGACGGAAATCGTATATTGTAGCATCGTGCTGGCTGCGTTCATCTTATGTTGTAATCATTCGAATAAGCTTGTTAAGAACAAGACGCGAGCCAAGTCCAAATCCAAATCAAGTCCGATGAAAAGTGGGCATCAGAAGAAGAAGAACAAGTCGACTAAGAGCAAGAAGGTGCCCACCAAGTCGACGGTGACCAAGCCCACGAAGGTCGAGGACGTGGACCGGAATCTGGACAAGACGCAGTCAGTGTAAGGTTTTATTCGTTTTTAGAGACTTAAGGATTGTTTGTTCATTTTAATTTTAAATTTTGGTATTTTTGGGCTAGATGCTTATTTGATTACGGCACAGAACAGCAAATTTTACCTGATTTTAACGGTTTTTGGTGGGTCTTCGGAATCTATAGTTAAGACCTATAGTCTTTATCTCATTTTTTGTAAAAACTTATTTTAGCATTTTAAAATACGAACTAAGATTTTTAGAGAAGATGAAGAAGAAAACAAACAGTCGGCTTCTAAAGACGATAAACAAGGATCAGGTACTCCAGTGTCAAAGAAGAGGTAAAATAACATAACTTTTTTCTCAAAAAAACAGGTGATCACATAATTTTTTTTTAAATCATGTTAACGTAGACATAAACTTGTTTTTTTCTCTACCATTATTGAACTTTTAACTATTTTATAAACGTTAAAATTTTAATTTTTAGCATTGAATCTTTAATTTTTACTGCTTGAAACCTTCATTTTCAGCAACAATGAATCAAAACCGCAAGACAAACCGAAATCTTCGCGTAAAAAGACAGCAACAGACCCAGCACCTGCAAAAGACAAAAGTAGTGACCCTGACGATCCGGATGATGTGGTAATCAAGGAAGATAAGGTGAAGAAGATGGGAGTTCTGGACGAGGAAGTGAGGAAACGACAACAGAAGGACCAGAAGGAGATACAGGACATGGGCTCTGAACACGCTTTGGACAAAGACTCTGTGGCGCTTCCCGACGGTGCCAAGGTGGCGATCAAGGTGGAACACTGTAAATTGTACGAAACTGAACACGAGGGGACATTGGACGAATAGTATCATGGGTTGGCCAAGTTTTTGGTCAATTTAGTAGAATAAACCTGTCTCACTCTATTTTACCTTTTCTGGTTATTAAGGTCTTACATTTTTCAAATTTAAAATATTTTCCAACTTTTTAATAGGCTAACACGTCTCTAGTACTAAAACCTTGGCTAAAACACTGCCAAAAAGATAAAAATTTACTAAATCAACAACAATAAGTAAAGGCAACGATTGAATGATCAGGCACTACGGAATGTTAATTCACATTGAGTTCACTGAGGATTGACTTCTATGTTTGTGTGACCGTTTATCGTAACAACAGTACGATGCTCGTCCAAATCGACCAGTTTGTCTAGGCAACCGACTGCGCCGAAGTAGCCTTCGTGGTTCAAGAACAAAGCCTTTTTGGTACCATTGGACCAGAACTCCATAGCATGTGATAGATGACGGGCAGCAATTGGGTTTACTCGCAGGAAGTTACCTAAAATATTATTTTTAGGTTAAAAAAATATATAAATTACAGTAATTTTACAGTGCACCACAAAAAGTAAAAACGTACCAACAAAGACAATTCGGTCCACCTTTTGTTGATTAGCAATGTTCAGCGCAATCGAACCAATGTTATTTGCAGTTGTAACCAAGGCTGATCGTGCCAAGTCTTCTGGTCTACACTTTTCTCTAGCCTCTTTATTGCAGACTTTGCCAAAACTGGCTGCCACAATGTTACCGGGTAGACCAACACTTTCATATCCAGAACCGTAAATGTCTTTTACCAGCTTGTCAACATTGGCATTGTCTCCTTTGGCTGCTAGTTCAATTGCTTCTTCAAAAGTGTCACATTTGCACAGCAGTGAACATAGACCTAAAAGGACAATGTTATTAATAGTTTTATCATTAAAAAGGTTTTCAGCTTAATATCAAGTTATTTTAATCTTAATCTATATTTTTTGTGCAAATATCAAACCATTTATTACCTAAAAATACCAAAAACAAAAAGTAATACAGACCTTGAAAAAATCCTCCACCAATACTCGAACCAGATACACGTTGAAAGTTTTCGTGAGACCGAACTACCAGTACAGAAACACCGGATCCTATGTTGCACACGACATACGGATATTGTAGACCTTCTTTTATAGGTTGACCAGCATGAAGTTGGTCCATTGACGAGCATCTTCCGCTTGACCATCTCCTGAAAAAATAAAATTAAAAAAGATTTTATATTTTCAAGTGTTTCGGCTAATAGAAACGGCATGATGAATTAATGTTGCCAGAGCAACTTTACCCCAATCACAGTAGCGATAACTTCCTTACCAGATAACTTTTTTACACTTTTGAGGATCCAAAGGATTATCGTAGTAATAACATTCATCGGGATCAAAAGATGTAACCAATTCTATTCCTTTAATTAGCGACACAAGCTCATCAGACTTTCTCATCTTCATGTGCAGCTCCTAAAGACCAAAAAGATTATTTTAAAATGATGTAACTCTACAATAACATCACTTTGTTGAAAAATCTAAAGATATTTTCTTTACATAAAAAAGACAAACATAAAACAAAAAAATGATAAAACAACAAAAATGGGAAATCTTACCTCTTCAGTAGCTGTGAAAAACTTGATAGCGCCACCTCCAGTAGCACAAACAGTGCTACTCATCATTGCAAATCCCTTACTTTTAGCCAATTTTATAAAATTCGACATCTTTTCTGTCGGAAATCTTATAAAGTGCAAGGTTCCTTTTCTATTCTAAACAGTAGTTGTACAATTAAAGGTTAAACTTACATTAACGACAACATTATTCAACTGAAGCTCGTAATCTCTAACTCCCGACTCCCCATAAGCTTGGTTGTTGACTAAATAATGGTGGATCGTCTTGGCTAGCTCGCTTTCATGCTCGTCCAGGTATTTCTAGAGATAAAGAAAAGATTATGATTATTTTTAAATGTTAAACTCACTACAACATCATCTAAACATAAAAAGTTTTAGAAATGTAAAATAAAATACTGAAACACTTTCTACACATAAAAAAAGCTGCTCCAACAATTTTCGACCGTAAATTAAGACGATATTGGCTTTCCTAAACCCAAAACAACTAAAACAACATTATCTTACCGTGTCAGCCGGCTCAAAGTAAACCAGTTTGGTCAACGTTCCGCCAATATCCATCCCAAACCACGGCATAGCTGGAAAACATCGTAACATTGTAATATTCACTTACGAGGACATCCTATCGACACTTTCCGCCTCGGAGAACTGTTATTCTCGTCGTTACCCATTTGTTCTTGCTTGACAACGCCAGAATTTAAATGTATCTAAAATCAGATATCGTCGACAAAATGAAACAAACCTTTTAAACTCTTTTATCGATCAAAACAACCATCATACAAGGCACAAAGTACCGTGAACAATCCCTTCGATTTCTTTTTTTATTTTTCGACGAAATAATTTCAGTGGACATTTCGTTTAGTCAATACTTTGAGGTTGACACTTCGTCAGCTTGCATTTGGGCGCCCAAATATTTATTTTTTTGTTGGGATTGAGCGTGTAAAGGGGAAAGCTAGCAAGAAAGGAAAGGATTGTTGTTTTGGACTTATCAAAATTTATGCAAATTTAATAATACCTCATTTTTGGGCGATTTGGTTCAATTTTGTTGTTTGTGATAGTTACGGTTGTTTTATATAATATGAGTTCAGGTGACGCGTCTTCAAATATGTCTTCGGATTCGGCCAGCTCTGCCGGCAGCCATGAAGGTCAAGAGGCTCAACGAGGAGGTCACGAGATTTGCTCAAAAGTTTTGAACGTCGACAAACGTCGTTTTTACATCGATTTGAAGGAGAACGATCGTGGAAAGTTCGTCCAAGTTGTTGCTGTAAGTAGTTCGGCAGCGTTTTCTTGATTTTTTGTATGTTTAGTTGTTGAACGTTCGCAGAAAGAGCAAGTTGATGATGACTTTGCCTATTGTCAAGCAGCTCATTGATTTGTTGGAGAAGTTGGAGATCAACGACTCTACTGGTAAGAGAAATTTTATTTTGCGTAATGAAAGAACAAACGTTGGATTTTAATACCTTTAGCGCAAGTTTAAGGTTTATTCTAGGTTTAAATATCATTAATATCATTCATGGCATCAAAATTTTAGAGTACCCTAAGCCTGTTGGCCGAATCTTGTCGGCTAGTCGGATTTACTTTGCTGATCTTCGCAAGAACGATTGGGGCAACTTTGTGAGACTCACTCAAGCTTTTACTCGTACTGCTAAACGGTATCAGATCTACATTCCGGTTGAGGGAATCACTGAGTTCAAGAAGCTGCTTCAAGAAATCATCGACGAGCACGGCGGGAACATTGAAGAGCCAAAACTGCCTCCATCCAAACAGTTGAGAGACGTGCGCAGCAAGATGTTCTACTTTGATTGCAATACAAATGACTTTGGTGATTATCTTCGCATCACTGAGGTAGGATATTGTTTTAGACTGTTATATATTATTTTTTTAAGTTAAGGGCTTGTGGTGGTTTATTTTTTGGAGTACAAGACGTTAAGAATTATTTCCATTGCAAAATACGCTTTCTTCTGTTTTTCTAGATTATAGTTGTTGATGAAGATGTTGTAATTATTTTAATGGCTATCTTTTTTTAAACATAACTTAGTTTCAAAAGATTTTTATTTTAAAATTATATTATTTTGTTAAGCAGTACCTTTTCAGACACGATTTAACTCGGAAAACAGAACCTCAATCACAATTTCGCGCAAAAACTTGCAAAGCTTCCATGATATCATTGGCGACTTGGTGAAGTCCTTCAACGAACTTCGTGCTGACGAGGCCAACAAGACCACTACCACCGAGAAGACAGCAGAAACGACTGCATGATCCAATACATCATCTCTTAAATGCCTCTGATTTATTATTTTGTAAGGTCTCTTTACTGAAATTCCCTTTTTTCAACACAATTTGTTGGTTTTGCTAAATAATAAACTATTTGAAAAAGCTGTGAGTTGGGGGTGTTGATTGGCTGTAATCTCGGTCAAATATTGCTTACAGTATGCGTTTGATGTAACAGTATTTGAAGGAGATGGTCTGTGGCCCCACAGAACTGGAAAGACGGATGGAAGACAATAACGTGAACCAATGGAGGCCGGACATGTTGTTCGAGTCGTGCCGACTCAGGGTTTCTATGTCGGGGAGCGGAGAGTACAGTAAGTTGGTGCTGCTATATTATAGTAAAATTTGCACAAAGTTGGGGCTATATAAAGCTGAATTTTTATTACCTTCTCTATAAGATAAATATTTTCTTCAGGAGACGCTGAAATATTATCTATAAAAGTCGGCTACACCGGTGAACGGTCGTTTTACGTGCATTATGTCGATTGCAATCGCCGTCTGGACGAATGGGTAACAGAACGTCAACTAGATTTAACCACAGTAACGTTACCGCAAAAGATTCACAGAAGAAACCTTCATCTACCAGCTTTACTGCAGAATAATGAGTATGATGTTGAGACGAGTTCACGAGGTTCAACACCTGAATGTGGAGATGTGAGGAAGTTACAGATAACACGGAAGAGGACGTATAACTCGATTTCATCTGAAGTTAGAAGTGAAGATTTTAATGCTGAGGAGAAGGATGAGGCTTCACCTGCACCTACCACACCAGCACCTGGACCTAGAGGTAAATATTCTTATTTTTTTTATTTTAGATTTTATTTGTTCTATCAAATAAGGTGCATGTATAACATGATGATTTAGCCGCTCCTTCTCTAAGAGGGTCTATGTCAATGGTGGGACATTCAGAAGACGCTCAGACAAGAATACGAAATGTAGAGCTAATTCAGTTAGGGATGAATCGAATGCAACCGTGGTACTTCTCACCTTACCCTCGAGAGCTATGTGCTCTCCCTTGTATATATCTATGTGACTTTTGTCTACGGCCACTTAAATCGCCGTTTGTGTTGGGAAGACATTCTGTAAGTACTTCTATTTTTTGTCAGTTTTTAGGTTTAGACCTTAGTTATGAAAAAATAAGTATAAAAACCTATTGCTAATCTAAGTTTACATGAATAAGTTTTGGTTTTGCAGAAAAAATGCAATTTGACACATCCGCCGGGGGAAGAGATCTATCGAAATGACAAAATATCGTTCTTTGAAGTCGATGGAAGGTGCAATAGGGTAGGTTTTAAAAGAATATGGCTAGTAATTTTGGTTAAGTAGTGTAATCACACGTTTAAAAACGTACCAATGTAGAGAAAACGTACAAAATTTATGTTTTGACTGTTTTTAAAGAACAAAAACTTGATGTATTTCTTAGTTTAATTCATTTTCAGACCTATGCAAAACACTTATGCTTGTTGGCTAAACTATTCTTGGATCACAAAACATTATATTATGACACGGATCCGTTTCTCTTCTACGTAATGACAGAATCAAAAGACACTGGCGATCATATTGTGGGATACTTTTCAAAGGTAGGGATGATCCTTTTGAACGTTTAACGAGATTCATTTGAGCGTTAAACTAAAATGAACTGTTATGGGGGATATTTTTGAGGTTTAAATTGTTTAAAATGAGTTTTGGTTTTTGGAAAACTAAAATTTGTAATTATAAGATGTTTTTAAAAATGTACTTGATTTTGTATTTTTTTAAGTTTGAGGGTAGTTTTTGTAAACAAAACGTGATAAACGAGTCAAAACTATAGCTTTTCTTCTCCAAAGATGGATTTACATAATAAATAAACTAACTTTGACTGACTTTAGGAAAAAGAATCAGCTGATGAATACAATGTGGCCTGTATATTGGTATTACCCGCCTTCCAAAAACGAGGCTACGGTCGACTCTTAATCGAGTTCTCATATGAATTGTCAAAAATTGAAAAGAAGACGGGAAGTCCAGAGAAACCACTATCAGATCTCGGGCTTCTATCCTACAGAAGCTACTGGCACAACACTATTGTAGAGACGATTCTAAACCGAATCGAAGAAGCCAATCAGATACCGCAGAATATCATGATGGCCGACGATACGGCGGAGGAAATCGACACGAAAACGACAATTTCCATAATGGATTTGTGCGAACTGACCAGTATTAAGAAGGAGGACATTATCACGACTTTGCAGGTAAGTTTACGGCTGGTTGTGGGGGAGGGGTTGGATGATTTTAAATTCTTTTGTGGAGAGAACTTTTTAAATGCTTTTTTATTTAATTTTCAAATAAAAATGAATTTTCAGGTAAACGAAATGTACGCGTACGTGCGCGGCGAGAACGTGATCCGCCTCACCAACGAGATGATCGACGCGTTCCGCCGGTCAGTCAAAAAACGACTGGTCCGAATCGACCCAGCCTCGATCCGGTGGCGGCCTCGGAACTGGGTCCGGCCTAAACCCTAGACTCGCTTAGATGTATATGGTCGCCTCTCACTCGTCTCTTAAACTTTATTTTGTCGCTCGTTGATCTCTTCCCTCTTTTTCGTTTTCATCTCGTTTTAATAGCAAATGCAAATTTTTTCGTTACCTCTATTTATAAATAATTTTTGAGGATTTTTAATCGCTCTCGGAGTAATCGATACACATATCTTTTCTCCCTTGAGTTATGTACAGGTATTGCCGTAATAAAATAATAGTTTTAATGAGTTTGCATGGTGAATATGATTGTATCCGTAACGTCGAGAAAGATATTTGCTTAAAGTTTGGGGTTTATGCCAAACGTTTGGGCTTGTTATACGAGTGATGTTATAATTTTTTGGTGATTTTATGTTTTGTGAGGCTTGAATTTGGCATATATGGGTTAAAATGAAGTTTCTCCTTTTGAATTTGACTCTTGTTTTGTTTTAAAACTTTTGTAAAATACGACTTAAATTCGTATGTGTTTTTTAAATTTGCTTTGATGAGCTAAAATACCTTATTGGTAACAAAAATAATCGCAAGATTATGTTTGCTGAAATGTGATTTTTATTATGTTCGTTATAAAAAAAGTAACCCTGGAAGCCGATTTATTGCCTTAAGCAGGTTATCAGAGGCTAAATACCACAATATTGCTCAAGATAACGAGTTTAACTGTTTAAGAATGTTTAGAAAGTATATAAGGCTGTAAGACAAAAGAAGTTCATATTGATAATACTAGTTTTTACTTACTGTAACGTTTAATTTTTAGCAAAAAGTTACTAAAATTAAATGTTTTGAGAGATTTTAAACATTTTTTAAAAGGCATTAGTCATTAAAAATGTTGTTTTAAACTAAAAATAAGGTGATTTTGATGTGGTTATATGTTTTAAATTTTATTTAAAAGCTTGGCTTTTATACATAAATTGAAAAAGTTGTACTACATGGTTTTATTTCTATGATTTTACTATAAAAATATAAGGTAAGCTCAATTTTTTAGATAAAAACGTAACTTAAAGTAATTTTTTAATCAAAAATGGATGGTCAAACAACTTTCTTTTATGAGGACCTTCAGTAAGGCAACATTCCCGATTGTTTTCGACCACTTTCAGAATATAAAAGTATATTTTCACCGGATAAACGGCCATATTTCAACGACACTTTGGCGGATATTCGCTTCCGGAACCGCCGGTTTTCAATTTGTTTTTTCTCAAGTTTTCGCGTCCCAAAGTGATACAATTAATATATTTATTTATGAGACGGCCCATTGTATACAAAATTCAAACATTTTTTTGTTCTTCAATATTTATACAAGTTGCTCAAATACGGACTCCTGAACATGATCGTGGTCGGTTGGACATGTTTGGTGTTTGTGTAGGGATATCTGGCTATGTTTCGAGTTTTTGTTGTGTTTTCTGGACAGTTTAGGATCTGGAGGTTCTGATTTGGCCATTTGTGACTTGGTTAGCTGATCACATTCTGATGATGAAGTAAAAAGAGCATTAATACTTTTATATTGATGTCAATTGTCTGTGGTCTGTATTGTACTTTCTTTTGCCTTTATATTTTACTGTCTGAACTTATTACACGTTCTATTTTATTATCCAGACGTGTTTGACGTTCAAATCGGTTATTTGGACAAATTTGCGATAGGGCCACTTCAGAAACGTGTGTAATTGACATCTCCTGTTACGCTTTATAAAACCACGTGGATTTGTCATGTTTTCCTTTATTTATCGGGGATAAACTCGTCATTTCTTATAAGAGTTTTGTGAGTCAAGATATATGATGTTTATATCCTTATGAGTTTGAGTATTACGTGTTATAGTCTTGAGAGGTTTTGAAAATTGTCTTATGTACACCATGATACGAAAATTCAGATTTACCATTCGTATTTTACATTTATCAAGTCACGATTTCGATTATGCGTTACAGTAAGACATTATGAACAAAAACCCCGAAATATTATGTTACAGTAATCTTAATTTCAGATGAAATTCGATGACTTGATAGTCAACTACTTGGGTGAATTCGGTCGCTATCAAAAGGTGCAATTCTTGTTAGTATGTCTGCCAACACTTTTCACCGCCTTCCACGCGCTTTCATGGACCTTTTCTGGTGCTAATATTCCACACAGGCACGTTTTGGCACTTTTTTTTATTTTGGGAGTTTGCACGGTGCAAAAATTTTTAGAATTTTGTATTGTGTTAGTGATTTGCTATGGATTTTTATTCTTTTTTTTAATTTTGTATGACTTTTTGTAATTTAAGTTAGTTTTTAAGTTTAAAAAGCTTTGTTATTGTTTATATTTTGAGTTCTGGGTTATATTTTGTTTTATCTCGAAGTTTTTTTTAATAATTTATATTGTTGTAGGTGTGCTTTCACCGGAGAAACAAAAACCTCACAGTTCTGGCTGCCTACCACAGATTCTCGTATCAATATTCAGAAATGTGATCTCACTGAACATCCAGAATGGACGAGATGTCCATACGAAGCCTGTACATACAATAATGACACCAAATGTGCCAATGGCTTTGTATATGACAACTCGGAAATTAAGTTTGGTGCAATGCAGAGGGTAAGACCTCATATTTCTTATAATATCTTGTTTATTATATCTATTTTTAACCATATTAACATCCAAATATTACAGTGGGACATTGTATGCGACCGGTCGGTACTGAAGGCAGTGATCCAGTCCATGTACTATGTTGGGCAGATGGCCGGTTCTTTGGTATTCGGTTTCCTGGGGGATAGAATCGGAAGAAAGAAGGTGTTTTTCATCGCTATCAATGTACTGATTATCAGTGGAATTGGCATGGTACTAGCTCCACATTGGATTATGTTCTCATTCTTCAGAATCGCCGTCGGATTCGCTCATCCAGGTAGGGTAATATGGGTTTTTTAAGGAAATAAGTTGCAGTTACGGGACTTAAAGATCATCGTATGATAAGGTACTTTGTAACTTTTTGGATATAATTTTGTAGGTATAGGTAAACAAGTTTTTGTATGGTATATTAGAATAGAAACCGACAGAATTAAATTTGGCTTATATGGCTAAAGGACATCGATATCTTAAAAAGTTTTCAGTAAATGTTAGTATTATAGGTATCTTCGTGATCGCCGTAGTAATAGGAATGGAGCTTGTGGGTCCATCGAAACGAAAGATTGCCTCAATCTTCACCGGCATCTTCTTTGCTTTAGGCCAAATGTTCCTCGGAATAATGGCCTACTACCTGAGAGACTACCAACACCTTCAACTAGCCATATCAGCCCCAGCCATCGTATTCATCAGCTACTGGTGGCTCATCCCAGAATCCGCCAGATGGCTGGTTTCCCAAAAACGGTTCGAAGATGCGGACAAAGTCATCAGAAAAGCGGCACGATGGAACAAAACCACCGTTCCGGAGAAGTGGTGGGAAGAACTGGAGACCGAAGGTACCACCAGTACCAAAGAGGGACCACAAAAGAAGCACAACTTTGTGGATCTGGTCAGAACACCTAAACTGAGGAGAATATCCATATCAATCATGTTGTGTTGGCCTATTGTGTCAATGGTCTACTACGGAGTGTCCATGAATACCAACTTCTTGGGTGGTAATCTTTATACTACATTCATTTTTGGTGCCTTGATCGAAATCCCATCAGTGCTGGCTGTGTTCGTGCTGATCGACAAGATTGGCAGAAGGCCTTTGCTTTCAGGAGGATTTACCATTGCCTCTTTATGTATGATCTCTAATTTATTGGCTGGATCCAATGGTAAGTTATTTTTGAATAATATAATAGGTAATCTGTTGGTTACAGTACCCGGAAAACGGTATAAAGCTAGATACTAAAAGTCGATATAAACACCCTTTAATAAAACAACCCCTCCCTTTCTCAATACCTCATTTCAGCCCACTGGTTTGTCTCCATGGCCCAATTCCTAATCGCAAAAGGTGCCATAACGGCCACCTATGCCTCTATCTACACCTTCACCCCCGAACTGTTCCCCACAGTGATCAGGAACACGGCGATGGGAATGTGCTCGATGATGGCTCGTGTTGGTGCCATTCTGGCCTCATACATCTCCATGTGGCTGGTGGATCAGTTCGGCAAGGTCGCCATGATTGTCCCATTCGCTAGTCTGGGACTGGTAGCGGCCGCCATTGTACTGACACTGCCGGAAACGGCCGGAAAAGAACTTCCAGAGACGATCGAACAACTCGAAGGTCATATCAAGGCTCACGAACTTCAACCTTTGAACGCCAACAAGACGGAATAGTTAGCATGGTATCGTCAACATGTAAATCACACTTTTGAAAGGATTTTTTTATTTACGATAACTTGTTATGTATCGTACTTGATTACAGTACGATACCCTAAACTTGGTCCTATCCAAAGGTGCCCTTTTAACCACTATATCAATGTCACATATTGTTTTCGGTCTATATTGTTTTGGCTAAAGTTGTTTTACTTCTAAAGTATAAACCCTAAGGTATCTAACTTTAACTTTGTAACCTAATCGGTCTAAAGGTACTATTTAGTACTTTCCTCGCTTTAACAGTACTATTTAGTATTCCAATCGGTCTAAAAATGATATTTAGTATGCTAATCGATCTAAAAATACTATTTAATTCTTTAATCAGTCTAAACGTACTATTTAGTACGCCAATCGGTCTAACAGTACTATTTAGTATTTTAATTATTGTAATAGTACTATTTAGTATTCCAATCGGTCTAAAAATACTATTTAATACTTTAGTCAGTCTAAACGTATTATTGAGTACGCTAATCGGTCTAACATAACTATGCGAAATTTAAATTTCATAAATTTAAACCTTGCGCCATTCTTTTCTCAACAGCCTGATAAGAAGCTATTACATTTCCTCGCAATACAGCTTTATTTCAAATCCCCATTTCCAAAGTTTTATTGTTATCATACTGTTCGATTTTTAAACTATTAAATGTTACCTAAACGCGTGGGCTTGTTGGGTCTCAAAAGGAAATATTGTTTATGGCCAAACGCTTTATTTTTCCCTTAAAAATTGCGAAAATAAAAGAAAGAACAACGAAAATACTCACATGGCTTCGAATTCACACTAATTTTTGAATATTAAAAACCAATTTGAACTAAAGTTACAATTTTTAAAACCATTTTGCTGATTTCAAAGCTTTAACCATAAATTTTGTTTGTTTATTCACATAATTTCAAACTCTAACAACATTTTTTACTAACTTTTTGCTACAAAACAGGACCTCAGCAGTAGATGAGACCGATAACAAGGATACCATTCATCAGATACAGCTCAACTCTACCCTGTTCCAGTCTGAACTTGAATGTTTTACATAAAAATGACCTAAAGTTGGATAGAAATGGACCAAAACTGAGTCACAGTTGGCTAAAATCAACGAGGATTGAGTCAAAAAGATGGCAAATGTAAGTGAATTAGTTAATATTTGGATATCATAATGTAAAGGAGAGGTATTTACCTTAATAGTGTTCTAAAGCAATTATACCTGGCTTATAATTTACATTATCTTAGTGTCTATCGTCTTTTTGATCCAATATTGTTTACTTTTTCGATATAAAACATGCCTTTTTTGGTCACAAAGTGAGTAGAACTATCTCATTTTTTATATATCTTTTCCTCACAATTCTCTATCCATTTCTTAAACAGAATAATCAAAAAACATGCGGGCAACCTCACCTCCTATGTTAATATTGTGTGTTTCTTGAGCCCGAGGGGCGAGTTTAGTGATGTCTGTCTGGAGAAACTTGTTTCCCCACTTCCAGGATGTCATCAACGACTTTTTCGGATGCCATTTTATCCATCAAATAAGATATCAAAACGCCGTTCAAGCTTTTTTTCTCGATTCTCATCGCCAAAGGTGGCTGGAGGGAAATAAACTTATCCACGGGGTTCGTCTCTTAGTTCACGTTCAATGAGCAACTTTTGAAAATTGATATGAGGGTGGATTGGTAATTGTCGTGAAGTTGGTTGGCAAGGTTTTTGGATAGTTCAGTCAGCTTTTTATTAAAATATGGTATTTGACTTTAAAAAAGGGGATCAACTTTGTTGCACGGTGCAGACATTTTTAATTTGTCAAAACTTGTATTGGGAAAATTTTTTTTAAGTATGAAAAATTAGAAACTATAGGAAAATTGCTAGCTTTTGCCATATGGTCCAAAAAATTATGTTATACTTAACTGTGAAAAAAAAAGGTGATCAACTTTAGTGCACGGTGCAGTCATAAAATTCAATAAAATGCACAGTGCAGGTTTGAATGGCCAAAATTTGAAAGCTTTATAATGTTCAATATTAGATAACAATATTTTGTTCTGAACCCCATTTTTATGAAGCCACTTCTTGTCCGACCAAATTTTGTCGAAATTGATTTTTTTGGCGCCAATTCGGGATTCAAATGAGCGCCATTTTTCGAAAAAACCCAAAATCGGAAAAGTGGGAAAAGTCGTCAGGACCTGCGAGGACACTCAAATGTGGGTAATATTTGATCTCGGCACTTAATCCTTTTTCTTATACATGCTTTTCGTAATTGTTCTATCTCTGTTTTATTAGTTTAGATCGATTTATATTATCTTAGGTCGACTTATATTATGTTAGGCATTTTTTGAAGAGCTTCGTCTAATTTTTTAATTTTTTAGGTCGTATCCCACCTTCGAAACTATGAAGAATCGTTATCACTTGTCGAATGGTTCTATTCATCTGATTGTTGGCCCTATGTTCAGCGGTAAAACGTGAGTTTTGTGGAATCTTGTTTTTATATTGTAGTAGGTAGGAGGTATGGAAAGGGTGAAAAATCAATGATCTTCATGGATTTTTTGGCTGTTTTTGATTCCTGGGTATCGAAAATGGAAGTATTAGGTTGTTTAAATAATTCTGTTCTCGGTAAATCTGCTTTGAAAGGGGCACAGAATTATGTGTACAATCTAATACTTAATGGCATAAGGCTTTTGCGATTAGTTTTTAAAAAATATTTTGTTTATGATATTAAAAGGCCTAAATTAACACCATAATGTAGCTAGTATTATATTGATGATGGCTCTAGTACGTGCCGAAAAATTGGTGTCAGTTACCTATGGACGTAATGAAAGACGTAATAAATGTTATTTTGTAAAGTTAATTACTACAATTGTAACAATGTAACTATAATAGTAAATATTTGTGATTACTTCAAGGTAATTACTGGGTGTAACACTCTTTACTGTAAAGTTATAATTATGGCATGGCACTGGTCTTAAATATAGAATTATGATGTGGTTTGTAAACACTAGGTTGATTTTAAGATGTTTAGTGTTATCTGTAACAGTATGTTACGATTTTGTGATTAAGATATGGTTTAGTACTTTATACTGTAGGGGTACTGTATTCGGTAGAAGTACGGTGTTTAACTTATTAATGAATATGTTTTCAGTACGGAGTTGTTTCGACTGTCCAACAGATATAGTTTGGCTGGGAAAAGGGTTGTGGTGGTGAAATACGCCAGAGACACAAGATACGACGATCTTATGGTTTGCACACATGATCTGTAAGCTTTTTAAACTTTTGTAATGGATATGTAAATTTAGTTTTTGTAAAATACGAAGTTGCTTATGTTTATTATAAAAAAGAAATGTGTTTCAGCCGCAAAATGGATGCGATCTCAGCCGTGAAGGTGAACGACGTTTGGGATGAGCTGATCAAGCACGACGTGATCGGAATTGACGAGGGACAGTTTGTAAGTCATTTTTGTTGCTTCGGAATAATGGGGTTAAGCTTTCAGATATGAAAGATAGTTTTTGCCTGCGGCGTTTATTTAGGCTTGATTCCAAAATTTGGCTAGGCTTTTTTAATCTCTGTTGAGCCAGGTTTAGCGGCCTTCTTTTAGGTCTATGGAAAGCTTGACTTTGTTTTTAGAAATGTGGCTGTACACTTAAAAAATGAATTTTAAAATTTCAGTTTGACGATGTTGTGGAGTGTGCTGAACAGTTGGCTGACATGGGAAAGACTGTCATCATTGCTGCTTTGGATGGCGACTTTCAGCGAAAGGTAAGCCTTATATTGTTATATCGAATGCTTGTATACTGATCAGCCTTTGGATATACAGTGGTCTCTCTGTATAGTGAACCATCTGTATAAGCAACTCTCTTTATAGTAAACAAGAAATTTGGCCCCGTCAAGCCAATTTGCACTAAATAGTCTCTGTGTAAAGAAAACACTCCTTATAGTAAACACAAAATGTCGATCCCTTCGGGTTGCTTATATAGAGAGAGTAAAGTACAGTGAAACCTCTTCAATATGACTCTTGATAGTGTGACACCCTCCATATAATGACAGCTTTTTGACTGTCTTTTTTTTGTAAAAGAAATTGTATCAAAAAGTACCTGGATAGTGTGGCATTCTGGTTATAAGGACAGGTTTGGACCAGTCTTTCGAGTGTCATACTAAAGAATTTTGACTATATATAGCTGCATGTTGTTGTATCGATACTTATGGGACTTACTATAATAGTATTTTCTACCAATTTATAAGTGTCATACCAAGTTTGACTGTATATTTTTGATGATTTTTACATATATTAATGATAATTATGTATTTATGAAATTTAAAACTCAGCTGTTCTTTTGCAATATTCATGTTGTTTATGCTGTTTAACCTCTTAAGGTTAATTTGTTCTTGCATCTAGTCTAGTATTCTGTTGTTCATACATAATGCAAATTGTAATTCTTTATGTAAATGACAGTGCTAATGCATTTAGGTAACAGAATTGATAATTTTATATATTTTTTCTTATTTATGAGAGTTAGGTTGGTTTAAAAGTCTGTAGAAATTGTTTTTATGAGAACAGATGGATATTATTGGAGGTTTTTTTTGCTAGAAAGGTCTATTTTAAAAGTTTTAAAACATTTAAATTTTTGAATTTTTAATGTTTAAAATTGAAATTAAATCTATTTTCAGCCCTTCCCCAACATTGCCACTCTATTTCCGTTGGCCGAGAAGGTGGACAAGGTCAACGCGGTATGTCGGTGTGGAGACGACGCGTCGTTCACGTTACGCACTGTGAAATGCAACCAGGTGAGGGCGAATCACGGGCATGAACAATATATTTTGCATTATTCATTTCGCTGACTTTACGAAATGAATAATTCATGTTTAATTTGAAATGCCAATGTTAGACTGATTTGTAGTAAGATTAAGGTGTTAGTAAGGTTAATATTTGGGTTTATATTATAATTATAGAGTTAGAGTGATCAAAAGTAGCTTTATAAAGGAGCTTTAGAGATGGCAATGTTAATATCAATCAAAAACTTTACATTTTAAACTGATATACCAAAGTAACATGGCTGAAAACACGAGTATAACAATATTGTTGTAGGTGGAAGTGATTGGCGGCAAAGAAATGTACGAAGCCGTCTGCCGAACCTGCTATCATGAACAAGTGGCACTTCAAAAGAAGTACGACGAAGAAGTGAAGAATAAGGACAAGATGTCGATTGATAAGACCAATGTTCTGAAACGAGTACATTCGATTGAAAATGGCACGGCTCCAGAAGACTTGGGCAGGAAACGACAAGTGGTTTAACATCTCAACTCACCTTTTACTTATTCATCTGCTACAAGGTGCAATTAGCCTCAGTATGGGTAATATAGGCTCAGTATGCATAATATATTGGATGGAATTGATAAGGGTTACCTATAAGGAAGTTATTTCGTAGTGGGATAGGTAGGGCCTTGTGTAATATAAAGCTACTGTTCTTTGTGGGTTATTGACTCTTTGGGTAGAGTCATTTTGTGTAGCACCATCTTACTTTGGTTAACATGTCTTTAGAATGTAAAAAAGACTCATCAAGCTTCATGTTTTTAATTTATTTCACTTTTTAAATTATTAGGTTGTTCAAATAATTCTGCGCTTTCCAACCTCGCAAATTTGCTTTGGTATGAGGCACATAATTATTTGAACAATGTAATCTTTAGACTTTTTTCTTCGCTTTCTACTGGGTAATGGACAACTTTTTATTTTATTTTTATGAATACTGGATGTTTAACATTATTTAAGGGTGTTCTAGCATTTTTTTAATTATATGTTTTTAAATTTATATCATCATCAACTAATGTTTTAACTTATTTGTCCTTTTTTTGTATCTTAAACCACTTTAAATTATGTTTTGTGTGTTTATATTGATTTAATTTTGAAATAAAAGGGTTTTAAATGACGGTTATGAAGTAATTTTGATGGTTTATACGTTTTTAAAGCGTTTTTTATACATTAATATTGATTTTTCTGAGGGTTTGTATTTATTAGGTTGTTCAAATAAGTCTGAGCTCTTTAATCTTTGAAATTTTGCTTTGAGAGGGGGCACAAAATTACTTGAATAACTTAATATTGATGTTTTTTGCTTTTTTAATCAGTTTTTCGAATTATTTTGCGTTATTTTTTTGCTTATTGTTATTTTTATTAACATTAGAAGTTTTGTTACCTAAAATTCACTAAAACAACAAAAAGTACGATTTTTAAAAATTTTTGATAAGGATAAAACAAGAAAAATTCGTTGAAAATGAGCAAGAATGGTTTATTCGATAAAATATATCTTTGATTAATGATCAGAAGTCTCAAATGAGATCAACGTTAACTTTTACTTTATATGGATATGCTACGGTAACATCAATAGTTAGAGGCGACATAAAACAGAGATCGGAGTTTTACATAAATAATCAATGACAACATAAAATTAATTTGCATACGACAGTAGTATTCGTCTGTAACACTGAAATATTACAATGTAAACAAGTAGGAATATACAATTACAATGTAAAAAATGGAAATAACTTGTAAACAATTTTTAAAAAATCAATTTTTATGAAATGAAATGTCAAAAACCGTGAAAATATTGATTTTTTGATTGAAAAATGTCATTTTTTAATGAACTAGATGACATTTTTAGATGAAAACAGAAAATAAGTGTAGGTTGATCAATTATAAGTTACAGTTTGTATATCAATGTAAAAAAACAATGTAAAAAGCGACATAAGATACGAAAATAACCGTCGGTTCATATGATACAAACAGCGAAAGATACCAGAGTTTTATGTTACAATTTGGTATAAGTTGACATACTACTAGTTTGGCTAACTGATAACGGTACTATACAATAAATTGTGCTATCTGGTAACGGTACTAATAGTAAAGTATCTTACAAGTAGTACCACATTATACAGCATTTTAAAGCTATAATACGGTACTTCTTAGTAGCGTAACTTCAAAAAGTATGTAGCACTTTGTTGTAGTACGAGACTAGTAGATTGATCATATAATTCTGTGCCCTTTTTCAAAACAAATTTTTGGGATTTGAGGGCGCAGAATTGTTTGGACGACCTAATATAAAAGATACCGTAGTATAGTACTTACTAGTAGTAGTATAAAAAAGTTTTTGAGAAATAAAGTTTGTAAAGTTGATAAGAAATGACATTTTGACAAAATTAAGGATCAAATATAATATGATACTTGAAAAAGCTACAATTAGTACAAGCTAGTACTATTTACAACAATATATAATTATAATTTTTGATTAAAATACAAGAGCAAAACAGTAATCATAGGTAGGTCAGAGACCTAAGAAACTAGAATATAAAGATGATAAGGGGTAGCTAGAACTATTACAAGATGTAAACATGTATATATAGGTATACCTATGACTTTACATATGCACATACTTATATAACATTCATTTTTGGCCTCCTAATCAACTACCGGGTTATCCTCCTCCTCAGCTATCACTAATCCCGACTCATTCTTATCACTGTCGCCATCTGGTTGACTGGGATTGGTGGAGCCGGCTCTAGTCGTGGGCGCAGCTGAATCCACGGAATGAGATTGGGGAGCCAGTAGATTAGCAACCGATACGGTGTCATTAGAGACTTCTGAAGCCGCTGTCACCGTGATCTGAGGATTGTTTTGGGCGGCGGCGGTGGCTTGAGCTAGTTGTTGAAGGAAGTTGGGGTCCATCATTGGGTAGTTAGCTAAGATTTTCTAAAAAGGGGTGGATAATATTGGGGTTTGAAGTGATATGATACCTTGTTTAAAAAAATCTCTTTTCTAAACATTCATAGATAAAACCCTATATTATTCTTACCTGCAGCATCTCCTGACTAGTCTGCGCGGCCTGTTCCGGCTGTAGCGTAGGCGGATTGGCAGCCGCAGCTTCAGCTGGTGAACTAGCCACTGTTGTCGCTACCGCCTGACTCATCTGCTCATTATGATTAGACAAAGCCGGTGAAACAGCTGCTTGAGTTGGCTGAGGTGTCAGTGACCCAAACGGCGTTAGAGCTGTTGGTATAGCTGGTACTATTGGTTGCGCGGCCATACCTTGCCCCAACGTTATCGATGGTATTTGTTGTTGATGTAGGGCACTTAGCTGGCTAGCGTTTCCAATGGTTTGGGCACGACGACGTTGCTCTGTTTGTTGCTGCTGTTGCTGATTCTGTTGTTGCATTAGCATTTGTTGGTGTTGGAGTTGCATGAGTTGTTGATGTTGAGCGAGGAGGGCGGGGTTGGGGGCGAGCGGGTTGGCTTGGGATGGTTGCTGGCTTTGTTGTTGTTGCATTAGTTGCAGGAGTTGCATTTGGTTCATGATGGGGGATTGTCCGTTCATTCGTTGTTGTTGCTGAAATGTTAGGGTAATTTAGGCAAGATTTTGAGGTTGTTGGGTTATGCTTTGTGGGTTTCAGGGTTTTTAGATACCTAATATAGTTATGTGTGTTTGTCTTAATGTTATTAATGTCTCTGTCTTTGAAAAAAGAACAGATTGTAGCCTTGGGTTTTCAAAACAAAGTGATATCACCATAATGTTGTTTAAACCACTATAAAGGCTATGAATATGCATATACATTGGGTTTCATAGGTTTTTGTATTCAAATACTTTATATTTCAAGAGTTTGAAGTTTTAAATGGTCTGAATACTTGTGCTGCATATTAGGATAGGAATTTGCACCAAATAGAGGGGAGGGGTAAAATTTTTTGCTAATTTTTGATTTCGATGGGGAGGGCTAAGTCCAACATTTTCAATTTGAAAAAAAAACTTGAAGAGGAACACGTTAGAATATGCCCTAGAACTTAAAAATCTTCCTCCCCCCTTAATCAACAATTCTCACGAGTGGCCACCTGTTGATGTATACCTACTATTTCGGGCATACCTAATTACAGTTCTCGAACTTGTTTTTTTTCCACCGCTTAATAATTAAATTGGACGCTCGAATAATTGAAACTAATTCGATTTGGGTCATGTTTTTTGTCCAAAAACCTAATTTCCAAAACATTTGGCATTCAGGTCGCCTAATCCGGTTACGCCGCCTAAACCAATTGGAAACTGGATTAGCGACGATGAGTTTTTTGCATAATTTCATTTGCATGCTAAATGTCGAGTTTATTGGACTGCGTAGGTTAGGATTTGGGACAAAAATAGGTATTAAAGCGCTACATTAACTTAGGGCAGCAGACTTGAAATTAGGCTTCAACAACTACTATAATATACTCAAAAGGTATTATAATTTAGCTAAAGAACAATCTAAAAGGCTCAGGTGTTTAAAAAACTTTCATCAAGACTCACCTGTTGCTGAGCAATCCTCTGTTGTTGTTGCTGCTGCTCGGCCAGAAACTTGGCCTGCATCCAATTCGCGTGCTGCTGTTGAATGTTCTGATGATGCTGTGCCGTACCACTCAATTTTGGCTGCACTTGCCCTTTAGCTGCCGCGGCTTGTTGTTGTTGTTGCTGTTGTTGCATGAGTTGTTGTTGAAAGAGGAATTGTTGCAAATTTTGCATATTCATTGGATTCATTTGGCCTGGCACATTAAGCAGATTGGGTTGAGGTGCGTCGCCATTCAGTCTAGCATTTGGCATGAAAGGTGGCATTCCTGGCATTCCCAACATTCCAGCCGGTGGCATGTTGAGTTTGTTCATCGACATTTGTTGAGCTGCGACCGCCGCCGCGAACTGGGGGTTCATTTGGGGTGCGGACATGAGAAGACCGTTTTGGGGTAGAGAAGGGCCGGTGGGCATGGCGGAGATTGAGTGTCGTTTGGCGGGCGGGGGGCCGTTCATCGAGGAGACTAGTTGTTCTTGCTAAAAGTTAGATGGTTAGTTGGGATATTACGTTGTTTAAATAATTCTCTGCCCCCTTTAAAACAATTTCTGCCCCCTTTAAAACAATGGTTTGGAGGCACAGAATTAATTGAACACGAAAATTTTTGAACTAACTTTGCGCTTCTTTATTTAAACCTATTAACTTCTTTATTTACTACATACGACTAGGAATAGTAACTTCACAACCTATGACTAACTTTTCTCTAACGCACTTGTAAGTTACAGCCAGCCGTCTAAGTAATCCCACTAATTATAAGGCTTCTTACTAATGACTGCAGTCCTGTGCCGGGCTGTGATCTTTTCAGTCCGTTCACTATGTGTGATGGCGACGACGATATGCCGTTGAGGATCTGTGACGGTGATGCTGTAGGTCGCGCGGCTTCTTTCGGTTTTGGTTTGTCGGGCGTGGGTAGAGGGCCGACGGGCTTGGGTGTGACGAGGGTGGGGTTGTGGAGAAACTTCATCATCTCGACGTCATTAATGGGTCTAAAACAATGTTTATTACCTGTAATTAATGGTTGTTACAGTAGAGAGGGGTAATTAGGTACGAATTTGTACAAACGTGATGACTAGGTATGAGTTTCTACAAAGAAAGAGATGATTAGATATTAGTTTTTACAAAGAAGTAGATGATTAGGTATGAAAGTAGGTATGAGTGTTATTGGGATTGTAACCGTCAGTCTACTGATGATAATATACGTATCATCCTCTATTATTAGCCGTCATTATCTACCTAATAAACAGTCTTAACAGTGTTATTATATACCTAATTATACAGCTCTAAGCTGCCAATTATGAGCCTTATTACAAACTCTCAACTCTAATCTCACCAAGTATCGTGAACCTTACGCTAAATTGAAGCCAGGCGGTTTGGGCATGCTTGGAGGCATGGAAATGGGCGGTGCTTGTGATTTTACACTGCTCGACGTTACCGCGACATTACTCGTCGACTGGGCTTGGCACGCGGCCACGGCGGCGGCCAACGACGATGCAGCAGCGGCTTGTTGTTGATGTTGAAAGAAGGCGGCGAGGTCGTTGTTGTTCTGCATGGCCTGCATGTAGGTGGTCAGGTCTTCCGGTGGGAACAACATGGCACTAGTTGATGGTTCTTGGTTGGTACTCGTGCTGGGAGTGGTACTGGGTACGGTGGTTAAAGTAGTGTTGCTACTGAAGATCGGCTGACTGTTGGGTAGACTACTGAAGATTGGTAGGCTACCAGGTTGGCTGCTCAGGCTCAACTGACTAGAAGGTTGGCTACTGAAGTTTGTGAAATTATTCGGTTGACTAATGTAGCTTAAAGGACCAGTAGGCTGACTGCTAGTACCAGGATAACAGTTAATTTGGCTACTGAAGCTTGGTACAGTATGGTTACCAAGACTTGCTAGTGTACCAGGTTGAAGTCCTACGCCTGGAGTAGTACCGGGTTGGCTACCTATGCTAGTCTGGCTACAAGGTTGACTAGGCAAGCTTGCAAAAATACGACTTGAACTATTAAAGCCTGTACCAGTTTGGCTACTGAAACTTTCACTCGAGCTGGGCTGGCTTCCGAAGTGGCTACTGAAGCTGGGCTGATCCACCTCGGCTGAAGACGGTGAGGAAGCGGTTGGAATGGCCACTGTCTGAAACGAAATCATGACTAATATAAGGCTGAATCAGGTCGCGGGAAAAACACACACGGTTGCAAACTCTACAACAATTTGAATCAGGTTTTGGTGACTAAAGCGTTGGCATCAGAATACGGGGCTGATATGTACAACTACTTAGCATAGTTATGGTCTAACACAATGTAGGTATAGTCGAAATTAATGAGTACAAAAATAAAAAAGTATTCATAAAAATTTCACAAAACCCAACAATTTCTCTTACAAGACCCCTGATTGCTCTAACAATATCCAAAATAGCTCTTGGGCAAAAGTAACAGCCATAAGATAGATGTACATCGACTAATAAGTTGAACTAACCCAGCCGCATTTTGCAATTTTCAAGAGCTTCAAGTACAAAAAACAAGTCAGGGTGATGTTAAATGTGGTGACAAAACAAAAAACAACCAAATATTCAATTAAACACATGCACAGAATACCAAGAAGACATGGTAGCTTTGTCTACCTACAATTCCAACGGAATTCATTTTGAGATTTTGACGTTTTGGAGGTTTTGTAGCATGTTACAGTAAGCGCATATACTATAATATTTTCTTAAGAAATTTTTGTTATTTTAATCAGTGTTACGGGTTTTAGCTTATATTATAGTAGCCAAAAGTATAAAAATATTAAACACAATCAAAAATGACAATGAAACCCTTACAAAAAGGTTAAATTACCCCCTAAAACAAGGTTCAAAACTATCAAAATAATCATCATAAACCCACATCACTACTACCGCCATACTAACCCTACTAAATCAGCCTGACCAAAACAAACCCCTCTTTCAAAAAGGACACGATTCTCGAAATTTATTTAACTTTACACGGATTTGCATGTTATAATCCCCCCAACGTAATATGACAATTGATTTGGCCAGATTTGCATACCTAACACCGGCACGACCACTAAAAAACGAAGCGCTGGAACGAGGCCAGCGGCCCAAAAAATGGCGGGGATTAAGCAAGAAGAGGGGGGGGCAAGGGAAAAAACAAGCAGAGATGGCATTAATATTCGAATTAATTAATCTCCTCTGATTAACCATTTGCAAGGTAATTAACTGCTATATTTAGTGTAATCTTTTTGCTTGTAATTAGGGTTACGAAACGGCCCGACACTATATTCGGCCTGTTTCGTCGTATGTTTACTGTTTTAGGTCATTTTGGGGAAGACTTATCTTTCTCAACGAATAAGGCTGGTGGGACGTGTCATATGGCGAGCTAAGTGTATAGTAAGTAGGGTGATGTGGGTACATTGGTATGTGAGGTAAGGTACAGTGTTAATGGCGTTTTAAAATGTCAGACAGTAGAAAATACATGGCAATTTAGGTACAGAAGCCTGATATTAGACCACGAGGATCACAGTGATCTATGACTCAACTACTATATATAATAACAAATGTAACATACAATATAAAATATATTTCGTCATGGTACTAAATAGCACAACGAAAGAAAGTACTAAATAGCACTACATAAAGGTACTGAATAGCGCTACGCTTTATGAAAATTTTATACTGTTTTCAAAAACGTTGTAGTGTAAGCATTATGGTACAAAATACAGTACTAGGACAACGTAGCATCAAATAGTGCAAAACCTATGATAATATAGGTACAGACATACAAAGTACAATACTCAAAATTAATAGTTATGCCATAAAAACACAAAGTGCTTTAGTCTAATAAACAAAAAAAGTATTTTCTTGGTATCAAAAGTACAAAATAACATAAATATACTACCATATAGTACCAAAATTAAACAAAATGTAAAATACGGGCTAGTGGAAGCTGATTTATTATCATTATTGTCTACCATGCTATGTCTTAGTCGGTCACTTAGTATTACTGGGTTGTTCAAATAATTCTATGCCCCATAAGCTAAAAAATTTGCTTTGAGAAGGGGCACAGAACTGTTTGATGTGTTAGACTGTTTTGTTACAATGACTCCATTCTTCCTATAGCGAGTCATAATGCTTACACAATGCCATATTGGTTAACAATGTCAAAAATTTACAATTTACATCACAGTAATACGTTCACAATACCTTGAGGATAATATACATAAAGTATGTCATAAAGAACAGTAAATTGATAATATACTGATTCAATGTGGCGTGTGGCACTCGTACAATAACCATGGTTAATATATTCTCAAAAACAGTTCTTTGATGCCTCTACTCACTATTTTACTTCAATATACTTCACAATACACATAGCTATTGTTATCATAACATCTTCTACAGAGTATGTAAAATAAAGTATACCTGTTTCTCTCCAACAGACATACCTTCATTTACTCTGTAGAAGCCCTACTGATCTACATATAGTTATGCCCGAATACGTGCCATTTCTCGTGAAAGGAAATAACACGCTGTTATGCACAAAAATGTGTAGTAAAATGGGATACACAAGAATAATTATGTACATTTTGTAAAATATAGTAGTAATTAGAACTGCACAAGGAAATTTTACAATCAGCTACAAATGTTATAGTGATAGTAGTAATACAGAGATGATATTATAGTAAGGACAAGGTGTGTAAAGGAGAAGGCGTAAAAGGTGAAGAAAGTGATATATCCTACATTAATACCGTACTACTAGATAAAAATACATTTTTTGCCAAAGTAAAGTAAAGTTTTGATGTTTTACAATCAAAAAAATGGCAAAAGATATTACTTTTGCCTGATATTATCATAGGGTCGAGAAAGCAAGTAGTGAAGTAACCAAGTATTTTCAAAAATTTGTAGACGTTAAGATACTACAAGTACCAACAAATTCAGTGTGACAAGATGACCAAATTATACATCAAAATCATATTGTGACTACGGTGCAGGTATACACAAAAGATAGCATACCATGGCAAAGATACTGGGACAAAGCAATGATACTATGACACAGAAAAGATACCAAGTATAAAAACATAGTAAACATGAAAAAGCATAATAAGCCGCAAACATGACATTATGACGCAGATACTTAATACTGATACCTACAACAACATTAGAGATGTTATAGTAAACATAAAACAATATGAGAGGTGTTACAGTAGAGATAAAACAAGATGAGAGATGTTACAGTCGACGTAAAAGAACGTGAGAGACGCTATAGTAGACATACAACAACGTTAAGTAGCTTAAAGGTGATATAAAATGAAATTATATGATATATTATGGTATGTTACAACATTATATGACTATGTTTGTCATTATAGGACCTTAAAAAGAGATTATATGGCCATACAAAAGCATTATAGGGCCATATTTGTCATATCAATGTAATCGTGATACCCTACTGTAAATCCTATATTATAGATAACAACAAGCATACAACAACATTATATGGTCATGTATTTCATTACAAAGTAATCTCTGAATTACAACACCATACCCTCTTAATATGATACTATAGAGCACCGAAATCCTACCTCTCCGAATCGTGCTACAGAGCACCGATCTCAGTATCATACAACATGTAGACATGACTATTGCAAAATCATTTCGTATCTTAATCCCACCGCATTAAGAATACCTACACAATTATTATATTTACAATCCGCGTTTTCGAAATCCGGCCAAGGCGGTGACGCGGACGGCCAAATCCCCCCTCAAAATTAATCCGACACATTTCCACCAAACACATATTAAGACTTCTTAAGGGCTTTGGCATTACATTTCCAACTAATTCGCTTCCGAAATAGATCCCAACGCCGGGGTTTACTAAATCGGCCCAGATTTGGGGGGAGATTCATTGAGTTTTGGGGGTAAATTTCCAACGAGCTTTGGGGTAAAATGGCCAAAGATTGGGAATACATTGACAGCGCATTGGGGGTAGATTCACTGATTTTTAGGGATAGATTGGCAGAACTTTGGGAGTAATTTGACAAAACTTTTGGGGGTAGATCGGCTATGTTATAGGGGTAAGCTCACAGAGCTATCGGGTAAATCGGCAGGGTTTTGGGGGTAAACTGACAGAGCTTTAAGGGTAAATTGACAGAGTTCTGGGGGTAAATTGTGAAAATTTTGAGGGTAGATTCACTGAGATCTAGGGGTAAATAGGGGTACATTGACAGAGAATTAGGAGATCGACCGGTACTGGAGTAGATATGGTGTTGGGAAGTGTAAAATACGGGATTCAGTCAAACTCGGTTAAAACTTTTAAAAAAATTAAATCTAGAAAACACAGATCAAACGTTTTTTGCCTCATCCAATAATAAATTCAGCCCCAAACCCACCCCTACCCTAAAAAAATAAAAAACTCAACCCCTTGCTTAATAAAAATCTAATTTTAACACAAAAACCCACCGACAACACAACTATTTGGGGGTAGTTATTAAAGAAAAGACAAAGCGGATTACCACCGGAGGGCAATCAGAAGCCCTGAGGGGATTAAGAAGGGCCGTGAACACCGTGCAAATCAATAGTAATTAATCCCGACATAGGCTCGGAGGGATTACGCGATTCAGGAAGTACGACAACATTTTGTTCAAAAAAGACATTTTTATTTGGGGGGGGGGGGGGGGGGGGAGATGACAAAATTAAAATTGCAAAAGTAACGCAATTTAACTTGATCTGCTAAAAGTACTGTATTTAGAAAAACTGTTGATTATAAAAAATAGTAGAAATGCCTATAACTAGCTAGGCATCCCCAATATTAACCATGATAACCAGATGTAGAGAAGAAAAGTACTCTTTTGAAGATGTTAAACAATACCAATTGTAGTGTAAATTCATAAAACAAAAGGTATTATACTAAACTAACATCTTCAGGGTCTAAATCGGCTTAAAAAGCTTTTTGAAGTCTAATGTGGGTCTTAACATATTTAGACATTCAGGTACGGCCAAACTCCAAAACATTGTATTGCCATTCTTTTCTTTACAAAAATTTTTTAAAATTGTCATATATACCTTTTAAAACCCTTTTATTATTCAATGTGGACTTGCATCTACCGTATTTTACAAAATTAAAGCCTGAATATCGAAGTTATGTTACACTACACATTCAGGTATTGGAAATATTCAAAAAGTCATATTGCCATTTTTTTGAAATAAAAGCCTAGAATATTTATTTTTACAATAAAAAAAGTATATTATTGATTCTTAGAAAGTTAAGACATTATTTAACAATAACACATCACAGAAGACATAAATCATCTTACACTAGACATTCAGCTGTTGCAAAACTTGAAACTCGGATTTTGACTATTCCAAACTTTGAAACAGGTGTTAATTGCCATTTCTTACAAGTCCAACATTACAAAAATTGTTTACTCAGTAACTACATATGAAGATACAGCCCCCAAACCTAAATATTTTTAAAAAAGGTAAGCCTAAGGTCCTCTAAACTAATTTAAGCACCCCTAAATTAAGTTTTTTCCAAAAATCAACCCTATCTACCTCTACCCTAGCATGCGTCCTGTGCTGTCTTGCCTTTACACTACATTTTTTCAACCATAGTCACTCCCTAAATCCCACATTTCTGCAAAAAAACCT